ACTACGGGAGGCCAGTACTATTGTCAGTGTTTTAAACCCGACAGCGTTTTAGCCCCTAGCGTTACAGACGAAGGCAAAGGGCAGAATGTTATGTAAGAAATGTCTTAACATGCTCTGGAGGAGCCCAATTTCATTTGAAGCGTTCGACTCCGACAATTCACTCATTATGACCTCTTCTTTGATATAATGCATCCAAGATATGCATCGAAGTAAAATCGCTGACTTGTTTGGCGCACTCCTCGATCCGCATGTGACGTGAGACTTGCATGTATCAATGGTGGTTTGTCGGTGTAACTCCATCCCATCATCCCTCCACGATCTCCGACATCATTTTAGATCCGACGTCCTCAAACTCCCAGTCCAGGCCCGAGTTTCCCACAGTTCCATTACTGCCTTTCTGTCTGGGGAGGAGCCCCAAGTGTCCGCTTCCGCCAGCACTACTAGAGCTTGGCTGTCAAGGGTGGCGGAGTTGGTGCACCGCCACGACTGTGCACAGGTACAGAAAGCTCTGCACCACAGCCAGTGTCTCCCAGCTATATCAGGCATGTTGTCCGCTGCGCCTATGCAATGTGCGACGCCCGTGCAGCGGCGGCCGGGATACTACAGTTCCAGAGGTGTCGACGCGCCGAAGCTTGGCGAGTTTGCGTACAAAGCAGCAGCATCCTGGAACGCCAGGTGTGCAGAGCCGGCCACCGGGGAAAGCAATGCTTGATATCATAGCACTGCACTTGTGATGGTTGTATTGTGCATTTGCCTTGTGTATTGTGTACATGTGTTCATAGTGAGCACCCTGAGAAGCGCCATGTTGTACTTTTACTATGTCAGTTCGTAATACCTTGCCTTGTATTTTGCAGCATCATGCAAACGCATTGACTGAGGTCATAAAAACCACCGCGTGGAAGGATTCACATCAATGATTATGTTCATGACTATGTCATGGCGGTAAAATTGTGCTAAAAGAATGACAAATTACCCTTATTTTTCGCAGGAATTGCACTCCACAGGCTCTCTATACATCACCGTTTGATCTATGTAACTCTGTATCGCATCACAAACGTTCCGGTGGTTTCGCAAGGCTAGGCCATCCAAGGTCAAGCTAGTCCAAACTTCGACATTTGTGGCTTAGGTTGATTTTGTAAAAGTCACGATTTAGGCAAAAACGGCACAGTCTTACGGCCTTCGCAAGGCCGTAAGGCTTTGCGCTCTAAGGCTTTTCTAACCCTGTTCTCGTCATTGGTGTAGGTTGGTTAGTATTTCGCACAGTCAAATGGAACAATGCAATAAACGCTTCCACTCCTTTGAAATGACGTAACCTACAGCGGGTCACATGTGTCGGTATTCGCTGATACACATCTGAGAGAGGTTTTCGAGAACTATTCAATACTACCTTTGACATTTTCATGGCATGCTTAGTTTTTCAGGAATTCAATGTGTCAAACAAAGCGCTAACTTGGCCCATTTAGCCTGATTTTGCATTTCAAAGATCACCTTCACCATTGCTCAAGCATACAATGTTCGAGATAATTCTACATACATGCATATGCAGAACGATCTCGATCATCCGGTAGTATGTTTGGTCAGGTGGGGACTGACCCTCAACCATGTAAAATGTAAAACGTTCACGACGATCCTCAGACATGCTCGCGCCCAGACCAATAATATTATCGATGTAATTGAGCTTGAAAATTGGTATACAATTAAGAACCTTGGCGTAACGCCGGATACCAAACTAACGTTCGCTTCAAATGTATCTGACTTAGTCAGTGGGGCAATTGAGCGCTTGGTCTCCTCATTCAGAACTTGCAAGTCGGCACCAGAAGGATCGGTTTTAAAATATTGTAGCGTGGCCTGGATGGGGGCGGCCAATGCCTACACAGTGCGGGTCGAACGAGTGCAGCATAATTTTCTTATTTGGTTGCTTACTTACACATTCTCCGGCAAACAGCTTCTCCTCCTTACGACAGCCTTCTGTTTCGATTCAAAATCCCATCCCCCATCAGTACGAAGAGTGCTGCACGATCTACTCTTTCCGAGAAACATCTTCCAAGGTAAAGTTGGCTCTAAAATCTTGTTAAACTCTTTCTCTTTGCTTGCGCCGCCTCCATCGACCTGCACCCGAAGTCCGCTCGCTGTACCTCGCGCTTTTTTTTAGAGAGCGGCACTAGCTTGGATATCATTCATGATAGTTTTGACATTTTTAGTTATGTGATCAAGTACGTGTTAACTCTGTAGCATTATCACTTAGCGTTGGGAAATTTCATCTTTAATCTATGTTCATACTACTGTAGGCTGTGTATTCATTGTATCTTAAATTAAACGACTTCACTCGTTAGTGGAGTGCTGCTTTGTTGGCGCTAAAAGAAAATAACATGAACAAGTACCTACCTGATGCAGTTTGACGTCAGTTTGTCAATGCCCCTTTCCTCGTGGCTGTAAGTTGCTTAGTGTCAAGGTCTTAGGGAGGCATCTGATCACCCCCTCTTAGAGCGAAGGTGAAAAAACTCCGGTAGGATGATGGCCAACCGCCGTGCGACGTGCACCAGGGTAAATAGCAAGCTGACAAAATTGACACAAAGAGTTTGAAGTGGCCAGCAGCTGGCGCATATGAGCTCAGCCACTCGCAGCAGCAGCATCACAACATCCTCGAAGTTCTCCAACGCTCCCAGCAGACTGGTGCTGGTCAGCAATCCGCCAGCCTTAGTTTCAGCACCAGCAGCATCAGCATCAGCAGCGACAGCGGCAATGGCAGGGTCGTTGAGCCGGCCAGCGGGCGGCCGGAGCTGCCGGTCTGTTCGACGGTGGTCTGGCCCCGCCATACGCTGCGAGGCACTGCTGCCGGCGCGCTGAGGAACACGGCCCGGTTGTACCGCCGCTGCAGGGGCCGGTAGTTGAAGCCGATCGGTGCTGGGCCACCGCGCAGCGCCCGGAACAGCTCCACCTGCGGCGAGACATGAGTGGACGCTGTGCGGTCACGGGCCTGCAGAGGAGACAAAGGTCGCCAGAACAGACCGCGGTCACGGGCCAGCAGAGAAGACCACGGGTCGCAAGTGAGCAGAACAGACCGCGGTCACGGGTCAGCAGAAGGGAAAAGAGTCACATGTCTGTGGAGCATGCCACAATCACGGGCCTCGTGCTCACTCCAGCCGTCCTCCTCGTCATAAACCTGCGGACCGTGCACAACTGGCGCAGATGCATCTCCACATCCCAGCACAGTGGAAAGTAAATATATGTGAACCTCATATGCCCTACTGCGCGCACAGAAACCGGGATTTGATGAGCTGGATCGAAGTGGGAGCAAGGTTCGTACTGTGTGCCGGCTATGACGTGGCTCATCCAACAAATTTTTAAGAACTTTTCGCTGGAGCTTGCTTGATTCGAGAGGGGCCTATTCTGAAATCGAATCGGCAGATATTACCGTGCAAGGGCTCAAGCACGTCATTATTACGACAAGCGAGCGCAAGATGCTGTCGAGATTCAGTTTGGTCTCGTTACCTGTCATTGAACTTACTTGCGCACTTCATGCTTCAAAAATGTAAGCATTAGTACGTGACGGCCTTGCAGGTGGCAGGTGTGCGAGAAGACATGCCCGCGTCCGCTGCCACGGTTAGCAGTAGTGCATCACGTACAAGGGCATATCAAGGGCGCTGGCATATTCCTGCACCGTGCGGAGCATGGGCAGGCTGCTGATACGTATGGGTGTAAACAAGAGGCGCCTCACCGCGTGCCAAATCTAAACCTCTTTTGCGCAGCACGGCATTCCTGAATATGATCGGCGTGTTAAGGCCGGCGAGCGGGACACCATGGGAAGGCAATGGACCCTATGGCTATGTAGAACATGGGTGTCTGCCGTTATCACACAGAGCAATGAGAAGGAAGCACGGAGTGGTCTTGTCATGAACGTGTCATGGGATGTGCATATTTTAGCCTCACTTCTGTATGACTTTAAGGGACACGGATGTCTGCGAGCGATAACTAGGGTTCTTTCTTCGCCTGCAGTCTCAGGATCTATTCGACTGTCACCGGCTCGTGAAAGGCCTGAAGTAAATTTCCCTGGTCTCATTTACCAGCCTGTGACTTTAAAAATGTCTGGCAATGGTGGAGCGGTCATGAAAAACTGGTAGGGCATATCTATGTATATATATATATGTATATATATATGTATATATATATATATATATATATAATATATATATATATATACTAGGATCATAGTTCGTGCGAAATATGATACTACGTGAGCTCATTGTGCGGTGAGTCCAATTATCGACTTACAGTGTAGCTGAACACGCAACACTTTCCTGTTCTTGATATTTCAGATTTCACCTTCTGCCATGTCCAACGGCCGTTGCCAAATAATTCAGGCGATCAGTGAAGCATCCGACAAGTCTGAGCATATCACCACAGTGTTTATTAAGAAAGGGAAGCTACATATCCTGCACAGCACCAGTCTGCAATGGCAAGGGAAGGGGCGTGCTCTCCGCTTTTCGAAATCTTGCCATGAATCCTGCCGTGATGTTTGAAAGAGTTGAAATTCAGAAAGGATCGGGCCTGGCAGGTTTTTGGAGACTTTCCTTTACTGTTATTTTTGATGGAAGAATATGTTAGCTGAGGTGCCGATTTCCTGGTGCACATGATGCTGTATGTGTGCGAGTGCGAAATACAGACGAGTGTCATTACAGTTGTCAGAAATATATTTGCTGCAGAGTCTTGTGGCTCTCGGGCTCAAACGTAGTGCCTGTGGCCTCGATTTCTTGAACGCGTCGCACATTCTGCGTGAGGACGTGAAAATATGGGACGAGGTTCTCTCAGGATGACCTGGAGACGTCCACTCCTCGGCCAGCAACACCCACCTGCCGCGCGGTGACCTTGAGCGGCTGAAGGAAAATGGTCCAAGTCACGGCCTCCTGGCAGCCGGGTGTGGTCAGCGAACCATCGTAGCGGTAGAAATGGAATGTGTTCCATGGCATGAGCTCCAACAGGCGGGGCGGGTCGGCCACCTCGACAGTGGCGCCGCCAGCGGTGATTCCTCGAAGCGCCGGCTCCAAGCTCCGCAGGGCCCGATTGTTGGTTTCACTCAGCTGAAAAAAACAGGGCTGTGCGAAGGAGGCAGGAAGTTTTCTACCGCGAGCATGGTGCAGCTTACAACGGAATCGCTGAAGTGTGCAGATCTTCGTAACTTTGGGGCAGATAATTTTTTGCTTTGCCTATTTAAAATAGCAAAAAAGCATAGCACCCATCGGGTCAAATTGTTGAAAAACACAACATTTTGCCAGGATGTTGGCCATTTTGTCAGGAGACGACGTTGATTCGTCCGGTAATGTGTGAAGTGGGAAAAGAGAGGACTGTCTTCTACAATGACCTTGCTACTCTCGCTATGCTTTCATGTCATAGTGCAGACCCATACCACATGAATTACGAATCTCGGGCTGCTTTTAAAGCAACAGCAACAACTGTTAAAGCTTTTAAAGCAACCCGAGTTAAAGCAACAGGAGGCGGCAACTAAATTACTAACGTGTCGTGGTAAGTGATCTACAAACGTTGATATCGGCTGATAAGACGCAGCGTTAGACACTCAATATCTTGGAAGTGCTCTTGGTCAGGATAAAGCGCTGATTTCCAACAAACAAATCCATACACGGCAACAATGTTTTAAATGACTCATGGACCACAGTTTTGCTGTTACCCGCAGCTCCCAATAATGTTGAGAGAGACGAGTTTGTTCGGAAGGGTTAAAAAGCCTTGTCTCTAGGGGGATTATTCTGCTCCGCGCATGCCCCTTGGCCATGTCTTATCATAAAATGCCAGAACGGTTCATTCATGTCCTGACAGAAGTCATTCCATAAGACAGCTACAAAATATGATGAGAGTTGAGCATTGCGGTAACTTTCTGTGTTAACAGGCTCCTATTGTGTATAACGGGGCCATATATCATATGTCCAGGGCAAGGGTGGCGGAATAACATAGCGACCAAAACAATTCCAAAATTATCGTTTTTCATCCTTGCCATGGACTGACGTCAGGAATTAGGGTTTAACCCCCAAGGACTGTATGTGGGATGCATCCGTCATTTATATCTACGCAGGTTACCCGCGCACAGAACGCGCTTCTCACACACCGTAGGTGAAACTGACGCATGCACGTGATAACCATGCTTCCGTAGAAGCTGTGCGGCCCGAAAGTTCACATGATCAGGCCATCAGCTAAACGGGTTACTACCGCCTCCCTCCCTCCCCCCCCCCCCCCTCCGTGTGCCCCAGTCCCTAGCTGGACGTCAGGCGGCGACGTCACTTGCGTTCCCAGAAGGCACCCACTCCGGCGCCCGGACGGCGGCGCCAAGCGACGTCACTTCTGCTTCCAGAATGCACCCACTCCGGCACCCTGACGCACTGATAAATTGGAAACGTTTGAGAGAGAACGAGCTATTTATTTTGTGGAGCAGGCGGCCGGCGCAGGCTCCCTCAGGAGCCTGAGAGACCGGGCTAATGTATCGACTCGCCTCGACACGCCCCGAGGCCACGGAAATGTCTGGCCCACTCTTTTCCGGTTTTAGCCAGAGTATGTTGCATCGGAGATCATTTTAACAAAATGTGATCTTGGTCGATTTACGTCGATTAGTACCTAGCCTAAGGGTCATAGCATGATTAGACCTGGTAATGCTCTGTAGCCGGTACACTCGTCTACACAGTGCAGCTCGTTTTATGCACCCTTTTGCCACGGTTCCTGAGGCTGACATCATCCCTTTGAAAACGCACCCTCTGTTTTTGTTTTCTGGTGAGGACGCTTTCGAAAATGGCTTCCCGTCTGTACACATGTCCCACACTTTTGCCGATATGAGTATGGTTATTCGTATGAATGTATATTATTGCTAATGTTCTCCTCCGTAGCCATTCATTGACTTCACATCGCGATCCCGTGATGCAGAATTCTATGCCAGATTTAGATATGCTTACAGCTTGTTCTGAAGCACAAAATCTTACTCGAGGAAGTCTTGAAATGAAAAAACCGACCCCGCCTCATAGCGGTCGATATGGTTGCAAAATAGGGTTTGTACGTAAAAGAGCAAAATTACGATACACCTCGCCTTCGTGAGAGCAGTTAGACACAATGTGCTGTTGCGTTAACATCAACTTCTTACCAACCTAACTCGTTCTCAATCTAATCTGGTCAAGCTTTGATTTATTAGGATTCGATCTGCATTGGTTTCTATCTTGGGGATATTTTTCTAATATTGATCATCTTGTCTTTGCCTATCTAATGGTGGCTTACAAGTACAGTTTGTTGTACTTGTAAGTTTATTAGAAGATACTTCAAAGTCAACTAGGCATTGATGTCACAGAAACGTCAAAGGATTGCCGTTACATTACAGGCCGTTTTCTGCTTATAGTCAAAACAGCAAGGCATTATGTAATTAGGGAAATATTAGAGATTTCACCTATATATTTCATTAGGTATTTAACACGCATTGAATGGTGCATTTAAATATTCAACAAAAATGGCGTCCTTACAAGAAGAACCTCTTGAGGTGTATTACCATGAGCCCCCGTTGGGACTTCGTTTTGAAGGGAGGTCACGTGTTACAATCAGAATTATTTGCGTAATTTGCGAGAAAACCTGCAGTTTGATAGTCCCGCGGGTTGTGCAAGTGTGGGATCACACTTATTTGACATCAGAGTGCGAATCAGGCGCTTGAAACGGGTGTGATCACTGGTGGTGTGTGCTAGTGGCTTGCACCGATCTTGATGCGACGGGGAGTGTGTGCGAGGTTTGTACTTTTGAGAGCGAACACTGTTCTGGTATTCTTTATATCTGATGACTCGGAATAAAATGTGATATATTGGTAGCTGCCTCTATCTTTAGGTTTGCGTTCCAACATGACAAGGCACTGAGTCGGCAAACTGAAAGAAACACCAACACCCATGTTGCAGGGGTGTTCAAAGGTAATTTGTTACTTCATTATAATCTTGAAAATGTTTTGAGCCTATTAGGAGGTACCTGTACCTGCTCCTGCTCCTGGAGGTACTACAGCATGTAATTAAGCCATTACATGTAATTATATCGGCAATTCATTACGAAAGTAGGGACATGGCGCCACAGCTCATTAGTGCACATGCTTGGTATAAGCTCACATGATAATGATTTGCAAAATTGTCTTTCACTTCAGAATTCTGACAGCATAATGCTGTACTGTAATGGATGCACCTAAGACCGTCTTAACAAATTTTGTATGCAGGCAAGCACCGCCTGTGAATCATCATTTTCATAGTGAATGTAACTTGTGTGAGATCCTTGGTGCTGAGAAAGATGGAGAAGTGTTGCTGCTGGTTTATTGGATAGCGCTTACTAATATTTCTATCATGAGCCTTGTGTGCACCGGCAGCTTCACCATTTCCTTGCATTTCGTCCATCTAACCATACCTGCATGCACTTGTTTTGTCTCCAACGTTGTGCAAAGTCAGCAGGTTCGCAGTGTGATTTCACTGCATATAATATTTTCTTCTTATACGTCTGTTATTACTAGTGTGAACGATATTTTTGAGTGAAGCAGCCTGATGGCTGCAGCATGTTGCATGGCTGTGGAAGCAGAAGACGTGTTTGCACCTTGGTCACCTATGTTTTGCTGACTCCCAAGACAGGATGTGCAAGGGATGTCACTTATTGGTTGTGTGCCTTGCTGAAAGTGATTTCTATATTGTATCATGTGTTTTTGTTCAGTGGTATGTCAGATGCGGAGATCGTAAAAGAATGCATGCTTGAGCCATCTTTTCATGATGAAATGTATTATATGAAGTCAGCACCGATTGCAGTACAAAACCCGCATCATTGTTCATTATGTCATACCACAGTACAGCTGTTGAACCGTGCCATTACACAAAGTACTACGTTGGCTGAGTACTCTGTGTCAACCCTATGAGATAACAGCTTATAGTTTATAAATGACTGGTAATAACTGATTTGACAACGCCAAAGAACTATCACCAACGAGAAGAATGTTGCACCACAATGGTTATATCAGGGTTAACCCGTAATTGCATAAATAATCCCAAGCAGGAAAAGCATTCCTGGTAGCTCGACCGTACCATCTTTACCACAGAATTAGCAATGCTTTGGCAATTAATTCATAGCAATGCTACGTATTTATTAATTTTTGCAGACAGCTGCATTTCCAGTCACAAATAACAAAGAAAGTAACTACCGTGCACATCACATGATATCAATGTCAGGACTTCAGCACTGCAGGCAAGGATAAGTCGACAATGTAATATTGACATCAACAGTCCTTGGCAGGTTTCGGTAAGAGATTCATGACGCTATGTGACAGTCTTCACAACATATCATGCTTTGATATTAATAATCCGCCCTAAAAACTTGAGATCGCCACGTTACGTATGTCAAAACAGCCCGCCAAAGCTTCTGTTACTACCGGTACCAAGACAAAAAATCCACAAACAATTAATTCATTATTCCGTCACCCAACACAGCGCCCGCGATGAGAATGGCTGGTAGGCGTCAGCTTTCGTGCGTTTCGAGGTATTTTTTAGGTCTGACTGCCAGATGTTGCCAGGTATTGCTGTCGTCATAAAGCCACTCAATGACGCCATCAAACAATGATGTTATGGAGCACATTTTTGAATTTGTGCTACTTAGATTCGTTTTTGAGCCCTGAAAGCTTACCGATTGTTACAAGTAAGCTTTTCTCATCATATCTGATGTTTATCTTACTATCTTCAAATGCGGAGCATTCCTTTTACGACGTCGGGTAGGGTGTGCCTGCTTGGTGAGTAAAAAATTACGTCTCTTAGCAATGTTTGGGGTTCAGCGACTCCATCAGCATCAAATTCATTTATTGTCGACGCCTCCCACGCCGATCGCCGCGGGTTGAGGTGAAACATTTGTCCGATAGCCAGGCTCCAAACACTCCCCCCGCGCCGGTCGACGCGGGTTGAGGTGAAACATTATTTGTCCGATAGCCAGGCTCCAAACACCTCACCCCGCGCCGGTCGCCGCGGGTTGAGGTGAAACATTTGTCCGATAGCCAGGCTCCAAACACTCCCCCGCGCCGGTCGCCGCGGGTTGAGGT